CTACTACTCCTACTGCTGCTACTACTGCTTCTACTGCTACTGCTACTGCTACCGCTACTGCTACTGCTGCTGCTGCTACTACTACTACTACTACTACTACTACTACTACTGCTACTGCTACTACTACTACTTACTACTACCACTACTACTACTACTACTACTACTACTACTACTACTACTTCTTCCGGACGCAGCAAGAAAATCCTCGCTAGGCGGTCAGAGTATTTAGGCGGGCTCTCCAGCCTGGCGCGTAGCACACCTCGGTTATTACGAGGTCCTGACAAAAGGCAGTGCCCCCCGGCCCGAAGGCCCCAAGAGCGAGGACACTGCTGTACTGTGCCACATAACAGCTTGTCACTATAACATGCATGTCTGAGTCCACAACACGAAGCTCGCTGCACGTTTGAGGACTAATTAAGACTATCCTAACAGAGCACAGCACAAGCCTCTTAAACCCAAATTAGGGACTAGGGCAGAGCACGTACAGGAATGCATAGGTGTTGTGGTTGTGCGGCCTTATACTGGAGGTCACTAAGTCGGGATGCTGCCTTGTTATCGTCGGTGATAGCATTCAGGCTCTCTTGATGGAGGATACATCGGTAGTGTCCTGTATGGCGTGCTGGTCCTTCATGCAGCAACAGTGCTGAGCAGGTATACTGTGCGAAATCCTGCTCAAGAGCATTGGGCTGATCCGCACCGGCAACAAAAATGGGCACAAATATGCGTGAACTCGGAACTACCTTCACCGTTGATTTAGAGTCTTCTGGATTATCCGTCCCAAAGCGGTTGGCTTGGATCAGCAAGGTGGAGGGCCGAGTGGTCAGCCCTTGTAATCCGGACTGGTGCTGCCATGCATCGACACGCTGCTGCACTTCTACGGCTCCGTTGGGATTGGTAGAAAGGGAGTGTAGGGGTGCGGGTATCCAAAGAGGCCAAACTATACCCGAATCTATTACCCTGAAAGCAGCGTCACAGGCTTGTCGTGACTCCCATCGGCTAAGCACAACATCCGGCTGAAGCTGTGGACCCAGAAAAACCAAGTACTCCACAATATCATGCTGCTGTGCCGGCGATCGCCAACCTGTATTCATGGCACGCCACTGTATCATCTGCCATAGGTGCAATACGCTGCGTGAGTGCTTAATCTGGGCCCACAGGCGGCTCAAGGCGGGGCCTAAAAGACCGGAGTTCTCACTGGCCTCCGTTGCCACTGCTGCTGGACCTAAGAGTGAAGCATTAGTCCAAAGTAGGGATAGGAAGGCCGCGTTGCTATAGCAGTAATTGCTGCTATTGCCCAAACGTAAGTGCCGGACATGCTTTCGGTCATCTTCTGCACATTGTTGGCTAAGGCGCTCCTCCCTAGCTTGTCCGGTCGCAACGACATTGCCATGGCCCGGCATGCCCGGGAGTGGGACAGGCGTTGGAAGTATTTCCAGGCCTGGTCCGCTTCGGGAGTTCTCATCCCGATCTCCAGTACCATTGGAAGGATATCGCCTTGGAGATCCTGCTCCAATTTTCTCGTGGCATGAAACCTGAGTACTGTGAGGGGCAGCAGTACCAGGGAGGTGAGCTCTTTGAGCATTATCTTGACTTCTGCCACCTCCATCGGGTCCCGGTCGGGCTTGATCTCCAGCTTCTTCTCCTTGGCATTGCACTGAAGGTACGGCACTTTTCCCTCCGCATTCAGGATCAGAAGCTCCTGGGCATTCTCGATGCCCTCCTCCGACTGGTTCACAGTCTCCATTCTGTTGAACCAGAGTTCCAACAAATGGTGCAGCATTGCTGTCCTGAGGGGCAGCGTGAGTGTCTCCGGCTGCTGCTCCTTTGCGCGGCGCCAGGTTTCGTTGGCCTTGTAAAGGTCCTGTAGAACCGAGAGCATCCCCTTGGTCTGCATGAACATGACGAATCCTGTCTCGCTGCGGCAAATGCTCTGTTGGTCTTCGTGGCGAAGGACCAGTCTCGATAAGGCCAGGCAGAGCTCCTTGAGGTCCGTGCGGCCCTGCTGGTCCTGCTGATCCTGGCCTTGCTTCCACCAGTTCTGGCTGCTGCTGTGGGAGCCCCAGCCACTGTAGGATCGACCGCCCTTCTCCTGATCCTGATGCGGCCACTTGGACCCCTTGCCGTTGCCATTGCCCCCGGTCTCCTCCTCGCTGCCATCCGCTTTGGCACGCTTGCCTTCCCTGCTCTGTGTTTCCATCGGCTCCTGCTGCGGCTGGTGGCGCGTCTGGACTCCTAAGTCGGGATTCGTGGGACTCGGCGAGGCCATCATGCCCCTCAGCATGTTGGCTTGAGCTTGCGCACTGACAAGCTCTGCCTGAATCGCTTGCGAAGACTCGGCCATCGGGCAAAGGAGAGGACTCCTGCCAGGACGACAACAAACTTATAATTCCAACCCTAACGAGGGTTATACATGAACCAGCATGTCTGGCACGGCTTGCATTCTGCGCCTTGAAGTCAGTGTGGCACCAGGTGCAGGGGGAGTGCACTGTTGCACGGCGGTCTTTGAGCCAGCTAGGCAACATTTGCAGGATGGGGCTCAAGACCTGGTGTTGTACTCTTATGTGTCTGGTTAGGTAGTGGGGATTCGCCAGCCACTGAAGGCAGAAGGGACACACATGGAGGTCCGTTCCCCGCACAAATTTGGCCAATGCCTGCCAACCTGAATGTTGAAGGAGACTGATTTGTTCCGAGTCTAACCGTAAGCGCAACCTCGCCAAGGTTTCGATTTCCTCGGGCTTTGCAGGTGTCGTGGTGTCAGGCAAGGGCTCAGTGATGGCTTCGTCTGCACTTCGTGCGGGATCCGCGGGGAAAGCGACATTTGTCTCCGGTGCTGTTTCCATAGCAGGGACCTGGGTATGCTGGATAGAGGAGGATTGCTCGGCTTGTTGTACCGGGCATCTCTGCTTTGCGAAGTGCTGACAAAAAGACGGCCAGGATGTGAATTGCCAGCCGCAGCGGCTACAGGTAGGCAGTCCTTCGGATGCAAACTTCATGTATTCTGCTCGCATACTTTGTTGTGTACGTCTTCTAGCAGTTTCCTTCTTGACTAAGGTTCCTACCTTATGCTTCTGCGCGGCGTGGATGCGCAGGGCCTTTAGTGTGAGAAAATACTGCCCACAAACATTACAGGACACCATGCGGTCAACGGGCTGTACTTCGATGAGACGTACTGAGGAAGACTCTGCATGAATCGTGGGTTCAGTCCCCATAGTATGTTGGGTTGCAATAAGCTGTTGTGCATGCTGCTCAAGCACTGCCCAACGTTGTTGCACTCTGTGAGATTGCAGGTGCTGCATGGGACCCTCACGACAAACTGCGACGCGCTTGAGGATTGTTTGGGCTAGGTCGTGAGCTGGGATTTCCACCTGTAACCTTTGTAGCAGGCTGATGGCAGGTTCCCTCGACAAGTGTACAGGGGCTTTGGCAATTATGCGAAGTTGTCTGGCTACAAGCTTAAGGAGCTTATCAGGTCCTTGCATGTTAAGGCCTGTGCTGTCAAGGCCGTACATCAAGGTAGAGTAGACGCACGCTCGCCAAACCTGCACTCTCTGGCCCTGGGTGAGACTGCTACTGCGAAGGGTGGGCAGTAGTCGGTTGAAGTTGGCCCAGGACTGCTTGACACGATGGGTCAAGGTAAGCTGCTCTTGTGTGGCGTAACTCAGTTTGACGCCGAGGTACGTATGCTGAGTGACCACGGGAAGCTGTATAGTGCGATCATCCGTAGGCACCGAAAGACACTTGCCTCGACCTTCTAGCACACTGACGTATTTGTTCAACGCCTTGGCTGCCTTGGACCCTTTGAGACTGAGCAAGACGACTGTTTTGTCTGTGCTTATCTTCATGCCAAAGGAGGAAAGGGTCTGCAGCACAAAAGCTACCTTAGTGATCACGGCATCCAGTTCAGATTCACTGTCAATGAACCATTGAAACAACCAGTCATCCGCGAATGCTGTTGTGTCTTCCCGGCTGATCTTTGCAAAAAGGTGATGCATAACAACACACGTGAACATGCTCCACAGTGTGGGCGATAAGCCGCAACCTTGCCTGATTCCATTATCTGTTGTGATGCAACGGCTGTGGTCACCAATCTTAAACCTCATGGTAGCATGACGGTGTATTTGCAGTATCGCCCATCTAAGTGCCGGCTCCACTTCTGCCCTCAGCAAGGCTGCATCCAAGAACTCTGTGGGCATTACATCAAATGCTTTCTGCAAATCTACCGACAAGCTGAGGGCACCTCTGCATGGCATGGTTTTATAGCCCTGTTTGCGCAAGTGCGGGTTATTTGATTGCGTGCGGAGAATGGCTCTTGCATGTGAGCAGTGGGCCATGGCCCTGTCAAGGGCATCCTGGGCACTGCGGCCGTGCATGTAGGCAAATTGCGGCAAGTCTTGCAGGAGTCTGGCTGCCGCCGGTTCCAATTTTTGTTTGAATACACAAGCTAAGGCTTTGGCAATAGGGTGAAGTAAGGAGATGGGTCGTAGGGAGGCTGGCTCAGATGGTTTACCTGGCTTAAGCATCAAAAAGATATCTGCAATATGCCACTCATCTGGTGGGGCCTCGTCCATATGCTGGAGCCATGCATTGACTTTTGGTAGCAACTTTTCTGCAAGAGTGCCTGCCGCTGCCTTCCAAAGTGCGGCTGGTGGTTGCGCTGCCGGGAGGGCTTTACTTGCCGGTAGTGCCGGGAGGGCTTTACTTGCCGGTAGTGCCGCGAGGGCTTCTGCCAGTTCAGATCAAGTCAGCTGCAAGGGAAAGCTGGGCGGTGATACTGCAGGAATCGCTGGGTGCGTGTGATAAATGCAATGGAAGTAGCCTTGAATAGACGTCAGCGAGTCAAAAGTACTGAGTGGGCAGCCATTAGGCGCTCGAAGCTGCAGTCTTTTGCGCGGGGTCTTAGGGGTGAGGGTTTTGATCAGCCTAAAGACTGTCGTCAAGCTTTGTGGCTGAGCAGCTGCCTCGGCAAGAAGCTGATTGATGCGGTCCCGCTTTCGCTGCCGACACTGTCTGCGTAGTGTGGTATGAAGTTGCTGGAGGATATGGGACTCTCTCCAAAGCCGGAAAAGCTTACCTAGTCCAAACCGGCTACCCTTAAGACCAGGCGGTGGATGCGGCAGGGACCTCACCAGCGCTCGTTGTTTCCATAAGGCAACAACAGAGTCGGCACAACGATCTGGGCCTTGCACTGGGATGCCTACCCTGGTTTCTCTCTGGACTTGTTTCCAGGATGCCACTATGAGGTCGTCTGGTGACATATGAGGGGAGAGGGCATTAAGATGCTCCAACTGTCTCTGAAAAAGGGTAAGGATGTGGGGAGTCTTATTGCATTGCTCCTGCACCTGTCTTTTAGTGGGTTTATCAGGGGGCCTATGCTGTTTAGGGACGGCTGGGGCGGGGATGCTCCCTTGGAGGGGCCAATGACGCATCCCAGTGCTCGGCACAAACGGCGCATGCAGCGGCCTAGTCTGGCGCGCGCTAATTGATCACACTGTGCTGAGCGGACCAACGCAAAGTCTATCTGACTGTGGCCTTTGGGGGTGGCGGGGTGGTACGTACAGGCAGCCAGCCCTCTCTTTGACCAAGTGTTCAGAGCAACAAGGCTGAAGTTATGCACCAGGTCCTGCAGCATGTGCGCATCGGTTGCATGGTGTTGGGAATGCACCTGCACGCCTCTGCCGACTAAACTGCCCTCTGGTTTTAGACTGCAATTAAAGTCTCCCACTAATAAAAGTTGATTGCGTTGTGGGGTTCGGGACACCAGGCTGTGCAGGTGGGCCCACAGCTGTGCGCGCTTGGCCAAAATGGCCTCTTTGCTGCTGGCAGCGGCTTTGCGAGAACGTGAAATACTCCAGGCATGTTGGTACACTAGGATCAAGTCCGTGCTAGGTTCAGATTCTAGCCTTACGTGGAGTAATCTTCCCGGTGTAATGTCATGAAACTGAATGGTGTGTTCAGGGAATTTCCGGGCATTAACCAGCAAAAGAAGGCCTGCCTCGGGCTTGGCACCCCCACTGTGCAGAGCATGGAAACCTGCTGTGCGGTATTCAAGCGGCCCCCGCCAGTGCGTTTCCTGAACTGCCACTATGTCGATTGCCTGTTGTTCCTTCTGCTGCAGCCAGGTTCTCAGTTCTCGGCTCTGCATGACGATCTGCCGTGAGACCGCTGGCATTCCAAGAGACAAAGTGCAATCTGGGACCTCGTGGCATATCTTGAGTGGGGCCTGACGTGGAAAGTTTGGGGGTCTTCGGATTGTGACTGACTCCCAACTGCTTGGCACTAAACCAGTTACCTCGGTATAAAGCGCGACCATTCTGTATTGCTCTACGCTGTGCTCTTTGAAAGGATCGCTTATGGGCCGCCTTAGGCGGTGGGTTGATTGAAAAATCACCGTTAAGGTTTGACGCACCTTGAAGTCTGTCAGAAAGCACATTGACTCCGACTTCAGGAGGTTCCAGGTGGGGAGAGCCTCCAACCCTCACGTCTGCAGCCTGGTGCATTGCTGTCACTGGGTGGAAGAGGAGAAGTATCCATAAAAGGATTCTGAAGAACCTCTTGTTCAACACCAGACCGCCCCTGGACTTGGGACCAGGGTAGCCCTGCAAGTGATTAGGGGTACGGGAAGCTTGGCGAAGCAACGTGTGGACAAAACTGCCTACCCTAGCTGGAAAATCAAGGCTGTACAAGAGTCTACAACACTGGTACAGGAGCAACATGTAAACTGTTCGGCCGTGCCTGGGCTTGGGTCTGCGCCGTCTCCATCTCCGGCGGGGCGTAGTTGTTCTTCCAGACCATTTGCGCCACAGTTTGTGTCTTTCATGCTGCTGGCCTTCCTGGACGGAGTGTTGAAGACGAGGACGGCTCTTCCTCAACACTGGTGGACCCTTGCTGAAGCTCCAGGAGCCATTTTTGGAACTGCAGCCTGCGCTCGTCATCCAGAAGGGGCCAGAGGAGCCGCACTGACGGAATGCCCAGCCTGTTTCCGGCCAGGTCGGTGGCTCTGATGGAAACCCTTGTGGCGTAGTCATGCCCCACCACCCCATGGAAGCTTTGGTAAACAGCTCTCTGCAACATCTGGTCCAGCGTTGTTCGAGGTGGGAGTCTGTAATGAACCAAAGAGTGGATCCATTCCAAGCCATTGGGTGGTACTCCCTCCAAGAACATGCAGCGGAGCGCTGCTGCCATGTGTTCCATATCCGCCTGGGTGGAGTCGGAAAGGTACTCCGCGATGTTGTCCTGTACGGTCCGTGACGTGGCATTCTCATGTCTGCGCCGAAACTCGCGCAGGTTGGCTCCTGCCTGTAGCGGCGCCATATACTCTCGGAAACGCCTTTCCAGATGCTCCCAGCAGAGGACTTTGACCAACTCTTCTTGAAATGAGGCCCGTGTGCGCTCAAAGAGTCTCTCCCTCTCAGCAGCTGCATCGGGCACGGGTGGCCTGGGTCCAGAGTGCTCGTCTGCTGCAGACCCATTATCATCGTTCTGTATTCTGTCATCGTCGCTCTGAAGGTCATCGCTACCCAGAAGGTCATCGCTACCCGGAATGTCATCGCTATCCGGAATACTGTCACCGACCGAACTGGAGTACGAACGAGATGAAGTTACAGAAGGCACTGAACGCGGCATCCACCCCGGTCCGAAGACCCCGTAAGCGAGTGGATGCCACGACGGTAGGCGCAGCCGAGCCCTCTAGCGCTCCTGCGCTCTCTTCCAGCTTTATCCAAGCAGAACAGCGCCACCAATAAAAATGTCAATCGCTGGCCATGAACCCCGTACTCAGAAAATTCGATTCGGGCCAAGACGCTTACTACTACTACTACTACTACTACTACTACTACTACGG